ACGGGGATGCGAACCCGCAGATTGCGAGTCGAGCGTCCTAACCACCTGGCCATGCCGGGCCTACAACTCTAGAATCCGGGTTTCGATATCCGTGGTGGGCAGAGCACAGGTAGCCTATTGTGTAGCTTTGTGCTTAATTACAAACAAACTGAAGCTGTTTATATAAAAACGAACTAAATATCTAAAATCCTGCTATCCTTGATCATAGTCAAATTTACCATGCATATTATAAACTAGATAAAATACTTTTGTCGTTAATTTTTTCTTTATTTGAATGTGTTGAGTACATGAACATTTATGTGGTGTGTTCACATTTTATGTTTTAATTCTGTTCCACGTGTTCTATGTTGAAGAATATGACTACATAGAAAAGTTTGAAATAAATCTTAGATTTCTGTGTGTAAGCGGCATTTCACTATTTAAATATTTATTTGTTATTGTTCATTCACACACACACACACATGTTTATCTAACTTAAATTCCTTACGACACTACATTTATTTATTTTTTCACTGTAGAGGTTTTATGAGATCTGGTGGATTGAATCAGAAACAATACTGTTTAAGTAACAATGAAGCTTAACAACTAGGAGAGTTAGTATAAGCTGTAAAATTATTTAAAAAAGTAAAGATATAAGCTGTAAAATTATTTTAAAAAGTAAAGATATAAGCTGTAAAATTATTTTAAAAAGTAAAGATATAAGCTGTAAAATTATTTTAAAAAGTAAAGATATAAGCTGTAAAATTATTTAAAAAAGTAAAGATATAAGCTGTAAAATTATTTAAAAAAAAGTAAAGATAAAAGCTGTAAAATTATTATTACAAAAATATAGAAATTAAAATTTAATATCCAACTGATGATTCAGTACTTTCTTGTTATTATAGGTTTTAATTATTTTTGTATTTTAATTTATGGAATTATCTACTTCTTCTCAATTTGTTTTATATAATTGGTTTAATTACATAATTAGTTATTTTCTAATTCTGATTTGTGTAGCCAGTTTGGTTTTCAATAGAAGTGAATAATAACTACCACGAAAATTTGTCTATATTTTGATCATTCACTCTATAGCAACTACGGAGAGGTGTTGATATTTTAAAACTTAAACAGTACCTTATGCGCACATCGGCTAAATAAATGGTCAGGTCAGAGACCCCTAGGATTCAGAGTTATAACCGATCCTAATTTTAAACTACAGAAGTGAATGGTGGCAACCAGTCAGTAGCACCCGCCACCACAAGAGCTTTGTCTGGCTCTCTGAACCGAAAACCGGATCGACTATTACTCTTATAATGCGCTCACAACTGAAAGTGTGGAATGTATTTTTCGATATCACGGTTCGAAATTTGGATCTTCAACTTACAGTTCGGCACGGTAACTACTAGACTAATAATACACTAATAAGTTTCAGGGGTGAACACTATTTTTTCGACCTAACAGAAGCTAAGGGTTGTTTATTAAACACATAAACTAGTTTCAGTTTTAAATGCTAGATGTTTCGAAAATATCTTGAATACGAAACTAATAATAGGTTTATAGTAAAATAGAAGGGTCATATTTCATAGGTTAGTTACTATACAGTTAACGCAATTCGAAGGTCAATTATTTTGTCAATGGATAATGAAACATGGTCGTTGAATATATATATATGTGTACTTCCTTATGTTCATTTTGTTCTCACCCCTTCCAGGAAGAGTTACTTTTGAGAAGTTAACTCACATGGATTATCCCGGAACGACATATTTTTCCATTCGTAATGTTTCTTTGTACGAGTGCCAAAGCTGGTGTAGAGACGAAGTGAACTGCGTATCCGCTGTCTTTAGTTTTGTGGTGAATCCATTGGTTCCTGTTCAAGACACTACGTGTTCCTTACAGAATATGACCACTTCTACGAAACCAAATGTCCTCCCACAACGCAGTGTTAACACCTACTTCCTTACCAAAGTTCACATTAGCTCAGGTACGTATTACTATATGCGAAATACCTCGATAACTTTTTGAAAAAGAAAAAGCCAAACGATGCATAGACTTCATTACAACTGAATAATAGTACCATGTTGTTTATTTTTGGGGGTGGAATGGGGTTATACATTAAAAACATGTAAATTTCAGTCTTGGAAGGACTATGCAGTTTGTCCTCACGTATCTTTCACTGGCATCTGTTGGAAATAATGTGCTGAAAGTGTTATATATAAATATACGGTGTATCATATATGTGGTAATATACACTGTACAAACTAAATAACATATTGTATATCGTATATGTGGTAATATACACTGTATGAGGTAAACAAGGTATAGAATAACGTCTATGAAGTAATTTATGATGGGTTGAAGTGTATAGTATATTGTACATAACGATATACAATACTGTAGGGTGTACAAGGCTATTATATAAATTATAGTCTTGTTGTTGTTGTTGTTATTTTTATATATCCTCTCTCTCTCTCTCTGATAGCTACATACTTAAAATACTGAACTGCGTGTCTTGGTTGTGATTGAGTGCGCTGCAACCATAATCTTCTAGGTTTAAATTGAAAATATATATGTATATCTACTTACATATTGTGCCGGATGATTGACAATACATTTTATAAAGTTAACACAAATACTTGGTGGCTGAACAGAGAAAAAAATCACAACACAAGTAGTAGGAAATTCATAAAAGTCATGATTTGAAAATTCTGGTTCAGGTATTATTAATTAATTTGGTTCAGGTATTATCAATTAATTTCTAGTGAAAAAGGCGTTTCAATGCATTAGAAACGGTTCTGTTGGTTATTCTTTCCGAACAAGTTGTTATTGTACTGATCATTGACCAAGAATTTAATTTCAAAGAGAAACACTTAACATGTAAACATTCAGTAAGTAAACGAGTAAAGTCATTTTGCTGTATAAGCATAAGCTAGTGCGTTTCTCTAGTATTAGATTTTAGTCACTTTGATGTAAAAATTGATCTTGGTACAGTACAATGACGTATTATAGACCTATTTTTCTACATGCTATATATAAATACAACTTTATCTATGCATACTTAGAGAGAGTGTGTAATCGACTCTGGACCTTCGAGAGGATTCCGAATACTTTCCTACGTGGTTTAGATAACGCCATTTTCTATACGTCTACCAAGGAAATTTGCCTAGCAGCCTGTTTAAACGAGGAACGGTTTTTGTGCCGCTCCGTGGAGTTTGACTACGTGAAGCTGGAGTGTCATCTCAGTGAATACGACCGTCGCTCACCAGGTGCCTTTGTGGTGCTAGTGAAAAGGCAAACAGTTGATTATTTTGAAAACACATGTTTGCAACGTAAGAGCTTTTCAATAATTTACACATATGAAATCAGACAATCGTAGGTGGTTAGTCAGGAAAGTGTAATTTGTTTTTTCGTTAAGACCATTTTTGTTGACTTAACATATATCATCATTATTTATCAAATAGTTACTCGACGTTTCTTTCCAAAAATGGTTTAATTAAATATATTTAACTGCGCAAGAATTATTTGCTAAATTACACTGGTATAATTAAAGTGAATTTTGAAATATACTTCACTCCATAATTATTATTTGCTAAATTACACTGGTATAATTAAAGTGAATTTTGAAATATACTTCACTCCATAATTATCATTTGCTAAATTACATAGGTATAATTAATGTTCATTTTGAAATATACTTCACTCCATAGCCATCATTTGCTAAATTACATAGGTATAATTAATGTTCATTTTGAAATATTCTTCACCCCATAATCATTATTTGCTAAATTACATAGGTATAATTAATGTTCATTTTGAAATATTCTTCACTCCATAACCATCATTTGCTAAATTACATAGGTATAATTAATGTTCATTTTGAAATATTCTTCACTCCATAATAATTTCTGCTAATTTATATTGGTATAAATGATTTTTATTTTGAATAGAACTTACTGCATAAGAATTATTTACTAAATTACATGGGTGTTTTTCTTAAGAAGTTATCACTGGGTGGATTGCGGAAATAGATTGAGTGAGCTTGATTTCTTTCCTTTTTTCTAAGTTTGACTTTTGACCTAAATAAGTTCATTTAGTAATTAGAACGTAAATTGCTCTATATATGGGGTCGTTAGTGGAAGGAGTTCTAGTCCTACGTTTATTATTCCGCTAATGACGCTTACTTGAGAACGAATAAGCTAACTCAGTAACAAGTAAGTAAAATACAAGGATAGTGGAGAAAGGTTCTTTCCAAAGTTAATTGTTTTAAAATCACATCAGTAATAATAATAATAATAATAGCAAAAGAAAATATGTCAAAATTTCTGTCTTATTGTCTGTTTTTCTTAACAACAGCAATAACTCGTAGACAAATACTGCTATTTTTGAATGAGATTGGTTTGTTATTATTAATTGTAATGGTATTGCCAAGGCTATCAAAGCCTGTTTTTTTTGGGCGATCATACTGAATTATTATAAAGACTAAACTATTTATATTGTTGTACACAATAACTAGCTAGATGGAATATGGATATAATATTAATTGAGATGACTGTAGTTTACTGATGTTATATCATCCTATATATAGTTTTGAATTTCATGTGTGTATATGTATATGTATATATATATATA